CCCAACTGTTTGTCGCCATTCCATCGGATAGAAATATGTGGAAGCAATGACCGATGCCACCGCTGCGACGAAAAGCACCATACCTCCCTGCATATTGAAGACTACGGCGATCCAAGGGAAACGACGGAAAATCACCCCGATAACGACGGCGGCTCTGACGGAGCGATTTCGCTCTACGTTTCCGACCAAACGACGTCATGGGCGAAGCAGGTAGAGGTGGAAAGACGGGAAGAGATAATCCCTTCACCACCAGACGGCGGCTTGAAAACCCGCAAGATTCGACCGCCGCTACAGCACGAACTTGAAGCAGATAGTCCCATGCCAGCAGTGCTCACACACACACAGCCAACGGGCGGTCAACGAAATGACGCGGAAACTAGTCCTTTTCGCTCATATCGGCGCGGAACCAATTCTGGCCACCGAGATGACGCGGAAACTCGTCCTTTTCGCTCATTTTGGCGCAAGCGTAATTGCAGCCAGCGTGATGGCGCGGAAACTCGTCCTCTTCGCTCGTCGCGTTGGCAAGCAATAAGGGCCGCACGACACCGACGTGGCGACCGTTCCTCCCTCACCATCCAACGCATTCCATCGGGTGGATTCCGGACAGGCAAGTTAAAAACAATCGCGGTTCCAGCACCAATAATGCGCTCATTCGTAGCCATCGCCCCAACCGCAATTGTACGGATCGAGTCAGGCGGCCGACTTCATCTGGTGCGGGCGTTGATTGACTCTTGCGCCCCCAGCAGTACCATCGACAGGGACCTAGCACGGGAGCTTCAGCTCGAAGTCAGCAACGCCCGCGCGAAAACATGTTCCCTCGTGCTGCGAGGAAAGTACGGGGTCGCGGAACGAGTAATTACTCAGGCCAGGCTAGTTACGCGATACAACCGACTCAGCCCCGCGGCTAACATCGACCCAACGATAGCGACGCCGTTTCAATTTATGCGTCTGGCGGATCCACAGTTCTATCGGGCCACCCCCACTCGACTAACACTTGGCGCTGATGTGTACGCCCAGGTCATGGTATGTGGCACTCCGCCAACAACGATCGGCGGTTTACTGGCGCAAGCTTCCATGTTCGGGCTGATTATATCAGGAGCTCACCAAATGTGACAAAACAGTTAAAATTTTATATTTAGTATTCATGAATACATACCGAATTTAAATAAAAGTGCAATGAAATGATCAACCACACCTTTTTTTCCTTATTAGCTTTTTCTTCCATTTTTCCCCGTAGCTAGAGATTGCAAGGAGGACCGGAGAACGTGCGGACTAGATCCCCGGGCAAGGACCAATCTGCGGCAGAATTCACAAAGTTAAAGAACATAATTTACAATGTAAATAAATGTAAATGTAAGGTGTGGTGGCTGAACCATCTTTGAAACGTTGCTTATAGCAAGGGGGCCGGTATGTTTAGGCCTCCACGCTAAATCAAATACTTAAAGTAAATTATCGGGTGTACCACCCTAATGTTAATTTAACAGATGCACACACATACACATTCGTATGTGAAACAAGACAAAAAGAAAAACTGCACTTTTCCTGTCAGTGCACTTTCGTTAAATTTCCCCTGAAAACGGAACTCTTCAAACCGTTTAGAGGGTTCGACTTCAGTTTCTAACTTTTTAAACTTTCTATTGGATTTCAATCACCAGCGATTACGGACGTTCCGCCACCACACCACTTCATAATCAAGGTAATATTGTAAGCCCCCTTGAATTTTAATATACCTATTAAATAAACCGTCAAACTTAATTGTATTTCAAACTAAAACCTGGTGCTTTTGTTTTCTTATTTTTCCAATAAAAAACACTGGTGCACTTATCGAGTCTATACCCATTAAGTCGCCAGGGTTTTTCATGGTCCTTCGAGCCAGGAACTATAATTAACCAGAGCAAAGCAAATACAGTCCACTGCAGCTAAACAAAGGCGCCATTCTTTGAATATACCAGCGGTCAAGGGTCACTAGCGGTCTCCAGATTATTACATCTGCGCATACAACCGTCCGCCAGCATCAACTGGAGAATTGCCACAAACACCAGCGTGAAGTTACAATAAGTCGGGAACGTACCACATCAGTAGACAACACCCAAATTAAGCACCAGCACCACATTAAAAAACATTCAGGAGTTTTAAAGGTATGTGGTTGACATTTCAAATTTCTTGCACATTCTCGTATACGTAATACGGCAAATATTTAAAATACCAAAAACCTGCGCATATCCAAAATTATCGCGAGTGATCTTGTGGAAATCATCAGTGCATTGATATCACTTTTTGTGTTCTTTCGCACTTAATTAGTAAATAACGTTGTGAACAAATATCTGCAGCAATACACAAGTGTGGGTTAGAGTAGATTTTTCTGTGCTTAACACCACCTCAGTTGTTAGTGTAACCTTAATTTATAGCGAGCACACTTTTTACAAGTTTTTTTTTTTGTTTTTTTTATTATATTTAGTTTCGTGTTTTCAAAATCACTTATTCAAATTTGCAAAACATCGATTTTATTATTTTTCACATCGAGTTTGCTTTCAATATTTTCAAACAATCGTGTTGCAAGCATTTGTTAATTGGTCAAATCATCGGCACTAACAACAATTCACTGAGTTGAGGATACATAACCTCACTTGTGACTGCACTTGTTACACACATTTGGTTTCACATTGGGACACTTTTTAACTTCTGCAATTCTGCATCCACAAGATCACTTTGAACGATTAATCAACAAAAATAATATCTGCGTAGCACAGTTGAATTATTTCACATTTATACACAAATATTTCGCTGAGAGTTGGGTGGCGAGTATCAGTTCCTGTAATCTTAGAAGTTTTTCATTAGTGTACGCGAGTATACATAAATACATATATTTACATACATATATTACGCTTGATATTTAATAAATAATTTGATATCCGTGCGAAATTGCACCTAAATTGCGGTGTTAACTTATTTGATTGTGGTGGTTTATTCGCTTAAAACTTTGGGAAAGTTATAATTTTCGAAGTGCTCTCGTAACTTATTTTCATTAGGATCTTAAAAATGGAAACATTTATCCGATTAGCTGATGTTGTGCCTGAGTTTGAGGCCGACTACAATAGCATGACTGAAACGGAGCACACAAAATACACTCTTGCCATCCAGCAAGAGGAACTGAAAGCCATGTGGAGGAAAGCAAAGATAGCGTACGAAGAGTATTTAAGTTCAGGTGCGGTAGAAGCAAAATCAGCCTCAGTGAAGGCTAAGTATAAAAGTACCTATTCTACTTATCTGCGCTGCATGTCGAACATGGCAGAACTCCATGCGAAGCTCGTCAAAAGTGACAAAGATACCGAGGATATGTCGGCCAGAGAACACAACATCCATCTCCCACCGTGTGATACGGATGTGTTCAAAGGCGATTATCTCTCGTGGCCTACATTCCGTGACATGTTTACGGCCATTTATATCAATAATAAGCGCCTCACTCCTGTAGAAAAGTTGTTTCATTTGAACCAGAAAACTCAGGGGGAGGCCAAAGAGATAGTTAGCAAATGTGATGTTACAAACGAGGGCTTCAATACTGCATGGAAAAACCTTTGTGATAGGTTCGAGAATAAACGCATTCTAGTGAATTCGCAGATAAAGATTCTTTTTAACCTAGAGTCAGTAGAAAGTGAGTGCGGTACTTCATTAAAAAAGTTACAGCGAAATATTAATAATTGTTTATCGGCTTTGCGATGTCATCAAATTGACGTATCCAATTGGGACGCCATCGTTACATATCTCTGCTCCACGAAATTGCCAGAGAGTACGTTGGCTCTTTGGGAACAAACAATTGAAAATAAAACCGAAATTTCCAAGTGGGAGGATATGGATAAATTCCTCTCTAATAGGTTTCAAACACTTGAAACAATATCAGATATTAAAGCTGTAAAACACCCTCGATTTTCAAAGCCCCAAAATAGCAAAAACAATGAAACTCAGAAAAGGCACGGGGCCTACCAAGCAAGCGTAGCCAAGATTCTGTGCAAATTTTGTAAAGGCAATAATCACAAACTGTCAAAATGCCAAAAATTTCTTAAAATAACAACGGCAGGCAGAATCGCCTTCATTAAAAATAATCATGGTTGCTTGAATTGCTTATCTTCTGGACATACTGTGACTAGGTGTACATGCTCATTTAATTGCAGCGTCTGTCACCAAAGACACCACACGCTCCTTCACATTCAAGCATTTCAGCCAAAAGCAACTATGAACCAAAGGCATCAAACAAACGTATCCGATGGGTCAGAGAACATCGCGTCAACTTCTGCTCAAGCTCAGGCAAGACACGATGCTACCAAAGCAAACAAAGGACCAACCCAAAATGTCCAATCCTGCTTTGCTAATACCAACATAGGAATTCTATTAGGGACCGCCCGAGTCAATATATATTTTAATAATACAAATTTTTCGGCCCGCGCTCTAATAGATTCCGGATCGGAGTGCTCTTTCATTACTGAAAGACTTAAGCGTAGGATTAATCTGCCCTCGAGGAGGATACAAGCTCAAGTATCTGGAATAAATAACACAGTCTCAGCTCAAGTAAAAGAGGCGTGTTTCATACAACTGCGGTCACCAATTGACCCACTGATCAATATAGATACCACCGTGTTGGTATTACCACAATTAACTGGAAATCTACCGACTTGCCAAATCGATGCTAGGACTAAGCAAGCGTTTCCAGAGTTAGTTTTAGCAGACAAGAGATTTTTTGTAAGTGAGCAAGTTGATCTTGTCCTCGGTGGAGACATTTACGCACAAATAATGCTAGGCGGTATAAGGAAAGACGTACTGGGAACTCTTCTTGCTCAGGAAACCGTCTTCGGCTGGATTCTCACGGGTCAAACTGACACAAGTACCCCAGCGAATAAGTGCGTATCATTTTTTAGCGAAATAAATTTAGACAAACGCTTAGCGTCCTTTTGGGAATTCCATTCAATTCAATTCAATTCAATTCAATTTATTAAGTCTATGATTTTTATAAATCTTACAGACTAGCAATGCAAAACTTACAGACTAGAAAAACAAATCTTACAGACTAAAAAGATACATGCGTATGCTATTAAATATAATATGAAGCTAGTTTAGAACCAAAACATGACCTCGAAAGTGCGAAATCCAGATCAAGACTACAAAAAATTTTATTAAATTCTGCGAGAGCCCTCGAGATGGGATCAAAATTAAAGTAATTAGCTCGGATTATCTTGACATTAAACGGATAATGCGCGCGGAGAGTTCTGCGCGGGACATTAAAATTTATTTGTGCTAAAAGTTCCGGACAGTTAACCAAACCACAGATTAGGTCATAAATAAACATCAGAGTTTGAATAGAACGCCTGGACGCCAGTGACTTCATGCTTATGAGGGCACAACGGGCACTATAAGATGGTAATGGATCAGAGAAGCGAAGCGGTTGAAGAGCAAATCTGCTAAAACTTCTTTGTACTCTTTCAATTCTCTGAGAATGAACAGCATAAATCGGGCTCCATATTATCGATGCATATTCTAATTTCGAGCGCACTAAGCTTTCATATAAAGTTTTCCTGGTGTATGGATCTTTGAAGTCTTTGGCATATCGCCGCAAAAAAGCCAAGTTACAATAGGCCTTTGGTAAAATAAAACTTATGTGATTTGAGAATGTAAAGCCTGAGTCAAACATTACTCCAAGATCAACAAACTCACTAACAGTAGAAAGGTTGTCATCAAAAAGTTTATAAGTAGACATATGGATGTTGAGGGTTTTCGAAAGCTTCATATGGAAGCATTTTTTAATATTAAGCCTTAAATTATTAATAATACTCCAATTAGCTAAGTTATTAAGATCGTCCTGTAGCAGGACAACATCTGAGAAGCTTGCTATGGTTCTGAAAATCTTTAAGTCATCTGCATAGAGCAGATAATTCGAGTTCCTAAAACAAGATTCAATATCATTAATAAAAAGAAGAAATAGAATTGGTCCGAGAATACTACCCTGAGGAACCCCAGATGTGGCTACGAAAGAATAAGACTTAGTGTTCTCAATTTCCACAAATGATATTCTGTTGCTGAGATAAGATCTAATCTAGCATAAAAAGGTAGAATGGAAACCCATTTTTTCGAGCTTGTACAATAGTATACTATGGGTAACAGTATCGAAAGCCTTAGCAAAGTCTGTATAGATAACATCTACTTGTTGGCCAGTCTTAAACGACGAAACGCAAAATTGTGAAAAAGTAGCGAGGTTCGTAACCGTGGATCGACCGCTAATAAAACCATGTTGACACTCATCTATGGAACCTTTAATTGCAAACAATAACTTCTCTTTAACTACTTTCTCAAAAAGTTTCGAGCAGTTAGAGAGTTTCGAGATCGGTCTATAATTAGCTACATTATTCTTGTTGCCAGATTTAAAGATTGGAGTGATAGAGGCTATTTTCCATCGGTCAATAAACTTACCACTCGCTAATGAGAAATTAAAAATATAATACAGAGGTTTGCAAAAAGACATACTGCATTTCTTCAATATAAATGACGAGAGTCCGTCAGGATCGCATTTTAATGAGGTTTTAAGGGCAGCAATACCATTGATTACGTCAGTTTCCGAGATTGACAAGGACCCAAAACAGACCGTTTTAGCAACACCGGCACAGAAACTACCAGCCGTATTGCTTGAAACAAAATTTAATTTGAAAAAATCAGCAAACAGGTTTACAGAATCCAGTAGGCATTCAGAAGATGCACCGCAATAAGTCATACAAACCGGAATATTAGAACAACCCTTCTTAGGGCCGTTTTCTGAAGTAACCTTTAACTTTAACGCTCACTTTATATTTAAAGGTTGGATTAAAAATAAAGCTATGTATAAAGTTAAGCATTTCTGTTATCGGTTTTTGACGAATATATGTTTCTTGGTTATAAACCAATTTAAAACCGATAATAAAATGCTTTACTTTAGACACAATGATAAATTTTAATGCAACCTTTAAATATAAAGTGAGCTTTAAAGATACAGTTTACTTGAGAAAACGGCCCTTAGAACGAATATATTTCCAAAAAGCTTTAGGGTTTTCCTTCAGCTCATTTTCATACCTAGAAATATATTCTTTATATAAGAATTTATCCAGCACATTAAAATCTTTACTATATCTCATATAATTTTCCTTATGGAGGTTATTATTAGAAGCTTTATAAAGTTTAAAAAATTTGTTCCTAAGATTTTTCAATTTCTTGAGGCGCTTGGTATACCATGGAAGTTTATGCTTTCGCTCAGGTAGTAAAGAAAGATTATTAGTAAAGATTTCATATATATTGCATAGGAAAACATCGAAGCATTCCTCAACACTTTTCGAGTGGAAGATAGATAGCCAATCCACTTCGAGAATTTCAGCATTTAGGGAGTCAAAGTCCGCATCACGAAAATTAAAACTAATATTGGAGATTGCACTTGAACTTGAAAGAAAATTAACAAACTCGACGGAGAGAGAAAGTGGAACATGATGCATATCTGATTTACATATCGGGAATGTGGATTCAGAGACTTCAAAGGTTAAATTTTCATCAACAAAAACCAGATCCAAGAGATTATGTAATGAATTGAAAAACGAATTAATTTGGGTGAGATTAATACTAAAGAGGCTATCAATGAAATTTATTTCATGCGAGCTATTCACATTTGTGGGCGTTAAAATACCGTTATTAAGAAAATTTAACCAAGTAATTTTGCTCAGGTTAAAGTCTCCTAGGATACAAAAATGACTGTCTTCATTTGCTTCATAAAGACTCATAATATTGCTTATATGAGTAGCATATAAAGAATCAGCGCTAGACGGTGGTATGTAAGATACACAAAAATATATTTTGCCAAGATTACCAAAAATGCATACACAAAGCTGATCTAGGAGAGAATCATCGTTTTCCAGCTGAACTAAAGATGAGCGAAGCTTTCGAGTTACTGCGATTAAAACCCCGCCCCCTCTTAAGCATTTAGTCTTAAATGCGTCTCTATCCTTGCGATACAAATGAAAAAGATTAGGATCAAAAAAACTCAGCATCAGCAAAATTACTGTTTAGCCAAGTTTCAACAATTACATATACATCAAATTCACAGCGAGAGGTGGATAGAAAAACCTCATTAGCTTTTGTACGCATTCCCGAGATGTTTTGATAATAAATATTTAAATTAAAAATGTTTTTATTACAATCAGCACTAGAACTAAAATTTAAGCCGCTCATTGCTCCATTGGGCCCAACTGATTGCCCTCCACTATCAGTTGGCCCTCGCCGTTTTTTGAACGAAAATTAAACGGACGCACCGCAATGTTTGTAGGCCATAACTCGGGGACCAGCAACTTTGGAAGCCAAATGGGATCGACACCCAGCTTGAAATTTACAAATCGCAGAGAGATAGGATCCACGCCATTCTTAACCAGTGGAATACAAACGATGGCATTTTCATTAATTCCAGTATGTCGAGATATGTGCGCTTTCAATTTCTCGGAAGTAACCGAGGCAGAGAATGGCGAAAGATGCAGCCATTCCCTTTTCGATACAGCGCTAATATCACTATTTATGCCCGACCCAACAACCAAAGGCTGCCCAAGCAAGCGCGAATTACCTTGAGTGGCTCTGATGTTGTCATTCTCCATGACTGCATGGAAGATATCCCAAGAAATAAGACCTACAACAAAGATGAAACCTATTGCGAGGAACTTTATAAAAGCACTACTAAACGGAATAAAGCAGGCAAATATATTGTGTCACTGCCGTTCAAACAGGATTTTCCAAATAACGTACGATTAGGTCCGTCACTTAAGATCGCTTGCTCACAATTTTTTCGAAGTGAAACGCGTTTAGCAAAG